CCAAGGACACTAAAGACTACAAGCCAGCAATGTTAATAATATCAACACACACATATACACATACCCCATGATGAATGCAACCAACAGCAACCTCTCCACTCCTACAGTGCGTTATCTCAATTGACTGCTCATAGCCTCTAAGAAATAAAGCAAGACATTTCATCAAATATGAAGAAAATTATCTTAAGCCTAATGGGTATTAGAAAAGCTTTACTTTCAGGGTAACTGGAGACATAAGCATTATTTACATTAAGCTCCCAAATGTAGGGTCTAGGTACTGGTGCTGAAATTCACAAACAAAATAAATAATCACCTGGCATGGTGGTTCCTGCCTGTAATCTAAGCACTTTGGGAAGCCAAGGCAGGCAGACAGCTTGAGCTCAGGAGTTCCAGACCAGCCCGAGCAACACGGTGAAAGCCCATCTCTACAAAAAATACAAAAATTAGCCACGTGTAGTGGCAGGTGCCTGTGGCCCCAGCCACTCAGAAGGCTGTGGTGGGAAGATCTCCTGAGGCCAGGGAGGATGAGGCTGCAGTGAGGTGAGACTGCGCTACTGCACTCCAGCCTGGGCTACAGAATGAGACCGTGTCACAAAAACAAACAAAATAACAACAGCAGCAAAAGAAAAATCCTATTTGAAAGGAATCACCAAAAAGATGCCCCCTCCATAGCATTGGGCAGAAAAGCCATTCAGAGCTGCTTCAATTACGAAAAAGTAAAATATAAAACTCTTCTAGCCTGGGTAAACAGATAAAAGTAACTTTAGAACTTCAAAATCTTCTTTTCACAGATATATATACTTTGAACAAGGTTATCAACTCCCTGAGGTCTGATATTCTAAACTACATTTTTTAATGCATTAAAAAAATACCCAGATGGGTTTAAATAAGAAATAGCTCTCTAAAAATGAAAATGATTTAGTTTCAGGAAGCTACATCTAAAATAAATGGTATAAGCCAGGCCAAAAGAACTTTCATAACCACCTTTCCCCAATAAAGCCCTTATCGTGGTGGGCACAGATGATGTTTGCATTTTGCGCACTGGAATTTAACAGCTCTCTTCCCTAATCTGACCAATGACACTACAAGTGTGTGTGTGCGCGTGTGTGTACTTATAGATACATATATAAATATGTATGCAATATATAAATATATACTTATATAAGCATATAAATATATACTATATATATATATATCACTCATTCCAGACTCCTGTTCTCTGCTCAAACGTTGCCTTAATGAGAAAATTCCTGGACAATCCAAATTTTTTTGATTTTTAAAATATTTTTATAGAGACGGGGTCTCACTATGTTGCCCAGGCTGGTCTCAAACTCCTGGACTCAAGTGATCCTCCTGCCTCAGTCTCTCAAAGTGCTGGGATTACAGGTGTGAACCACCATACCCAGCCTAGACAGTTCAATTTAAAATTTAAAATTTCAACCCTCACCCCACAGAAACACACATCCTCCTATCTTATATCTGGCTTTATTTTTCTTCATAGCAGGAAGTACCATATGACATATCATACATGTTTTTGTCTCTCTTAAGTAGAATGGAAACTCCATGAGCACAGGGACCTTGTCTGCTTTATTCACTACTGTATCTCCAGTATCTAGAATAGTGCCCACGTGTAATTGGAACTAAAATAATATAGTATGGTGGATGCATGGATGGAAAGATCTGAGCAAATCACAAAGTGAATGGAGGCAAAAAGTCAAAAATACAGTAACTGCTTTTACCAAAAAACATCTAGTAAGTAATAGTGCCAAGACTGAAATCCACATCTGCCTGACTTGCAAACCCAAGCTCTTAATTTTCATGCTATACTTTCACTTACCGATTTGGAGACTTCAGACGAATTACTTGTTAGGTGGAAGAATGTGTATTTTGTATAGTGCCAAGTTGTCACATAAGTCTAGAAACCCATATTTGAGTTCCTGTCCATTTTAATGCAACTAACATATTACGTGGAAAAGCATAGCAATTGAAAGCCTCAAAAATTAACAAAAACGCTCTCTCAAAGGACAAGAACACCAAACTAGAGGCAAATTCTAAATTTCTCTATGCCCGTGAAGGATATGGAAACGAGCCTTTGTAACCTGGAATGAGCACACCATAGGATTTGCTCTTGGGAGAACCATTCTGAGAAAGAGGCAAACAGGGACACAAATATAATGCCCCCTCCTTCTGACCAAGACTTAAATGACAATTACAGAAACTTTAAAAATTTTCCAGATCAGGCTATGAGGACGAGAAACAGTGGAGCAGATGGTAAGTCACTCATTTTATTAACCTCAGTTTTTCCACACAACTAATTTTGTAGTAATTAAACTTATTCAAATTTTTGTGGTTCTTACCTTTCTGTTTTCTTTACTACAAATGCTAAGCAGTACTTTGCCTCCTACTGCACACTCCCTACAAAGACTTGCCCAGTTCTGTGTACAAGAGGGACCATGGAACTTCAATTGTTTGGGGAGATGACTAAGCACAGAGATCAGGTAGCCGATCCCTTCATTTTACAAGTATGGCAATTCAGGTCCAGAAGTGGGAGTTCCTGTTTTAAAGTCACACGTAATTTGTTAGTGGCAAAGCCTATATTAGTACCCATGTTTCCTTGCTTCATTCCAGAACAAAACTTTTTCTACTCCTCTAATATTAGAGATAAGAAAGGATATTGTTTATATTAAAAAACTGAAGAACTTCTGGCTTACTTAAGTGTAAGCTCTTCAAAAGAGAAGAATTTACCTAGTTGAATCTTAACAGCCTCAGAACTTAGATCACTCTACCCAGCACATAGTAGGCTTTTTAAGTTTTTTATTATTATTTCTTTGACGGAGTACCACTCTGTCGCCCAGGCTGGAGTGCAGTGGTGTGATCTCAGCTCACTGCAACCTGTCTCCTGGATTCAAGCAATTCTCCTGCCTCAGCCTCCTGAGTTGCTGGAACTACAGGCGCATGCCAGGACGCCCAGCTAATTTTTTTTTTTATTTTTAGTAGAGACAGGGTTTTACCATATTGGTCACATGGGTCTCGAACTACTGACCTCAGGTGATCCAACTACCTCGGCCTCCCAAAGTGTTGGGACTACAGGCATGAGCCATGGCACCTGACCCAGAGTAGATATTAATGTGTATTTACTGAGTGATCAATTGTTTAAATGTGAGTGATCAATTGTTTAAATGTGAGTTACTTTATCAAAAAGAGGAGGGAAAATCTATTTCTGACCCTTATTAAGTAAACATTTTTAAGGCAGTTAGAGTAGGCCTAACTTTAGATATCACTAAAATAACCAAAAAATTATTCTGATATAATATAAAAATAAGAATACTCCTCCTTCTTCTCAGCAACTCCATTCATTGAGGACACACATTCCTGCAAGAAGCTACCTGTCTCAAGTCTTAATTTATTTCACTTAATACTAAAAAAAGGCAAATCTCAGACAGTTTTCAGATAGAAGGAACCAAAAAAAAGAGGAGGGGAGGGCAGAAATAGTAGAAAAATGACCAAGTACAAATATTTGCTGACTATGATGCTGAAAAGCTACTCCTTTTCAGTTATGCATACCTACTTGGTGTATCTTTCCTCTAAGAGTCCTGGGAGAGCCCTTGCCATTTACAGAAGACTCAGGACACTTGTGAAGCTAGACCTAATATTCACTGCTAGAAACCGAATTTAAAATTTAAAATGTGCCTCTTAAATAATAGAATTCATCCAAATTTAACCCATTAAGAATTCTAAAACTAATGTATATTAAAATTAAACTATAAGTAATAAAGCACTATACATATATTAAATGATCCTTCTAACAGGCTTAGTAAGAAGAAAACACAGGTAACATTATTTTCATTTTATAGATAAGGCAACTGAGGTTTAAGAAGATAAAGTGATTTGTCTAGGTTTACAAAGCTAGTTAAATGGCATGGTCAAGACTGAACCTTAAGAGTTTTCTGACTCAAGTCTCTTCATATCAAACCAAAATAAGCTTTCGTAAACAGCCCAAAAGGCTACACAAAAATCTCAGAGGAAAATTTAATCACAAGAGCATTTTTCACAAAACAAAACCCCAAAATGGACAGTAACAGAAAGAATTACTATGTGTTTCATACATTTAAAAATTGCATATGATGTGTACGTAAAGTATACTTAATACATAAGTATAAATATTGTTGTGATCTCCTCCTTAATTAGATCTTTTTTTTTTGTTAAGGCAAAGTTTAAAAGCCATTGTTTTATCACAGCTCTATTTCCTTAGGGTTCCCCAGATGTGACTTTACTAGTAAATCATGGTAAAGATGAGTATATTGTAGGTATATACAGTACAGGTTTTTGGGCCCCAACATATAAATTTTAATGTATTAAGTTCACACTCCGCACTTTAACAAGCATTCTAGGTAATTCTGATTGGCCAAATTTCTAATACTGCCCCAACCAAATTCCTAGAGGAAAAGCAGTCCAAGAGAATATAAGAAATTAAAATCCAGGGACAAAAACTATTTATTAATCTCCCCTAACCCTGAAGCCAGAAAAAAACCAAACAGGTTGGGAACCTATTCCATTCAACGTAGTCTCCAAACTTAGCTGCCCTTGCCTCAGCTTATCAGAAAAGTTGGTCTTCTCCTCATACCATGCTATAGGATAGATGTAAATGCAAAGGGTTTCCATTTTAATATTCCTATCTCCTTAGCTTGAGTCTACTAAAACTCAGTAAATCTCAAAGCACAAGTGTAAGACTGTGGTGAACATTTAAGTTGTAACTTTCCCAAAATGTTATGCAAAAACTGAGACAGAGGAGGGATTTGGAGGTGGAGAGGAATGGGGAGGAGGGAAAATCTGACCTAGTGGGAGAAGTCAGTTAGCCTGCTGGCTTCCCTAGCTCAGATACAAGTACACAGAAAGAAATATTCCTGAGTGGGATTCTTCCACATGACAGTGGGAAATGTTCCCAAGAAGGGTTCCTAAGTAGGAGATCATAATCATAATGGCAATAATCATCTACTTACAAGCTGCCTCTTCTTGGAAGGCTCAACTCCTTCTGAAAAACAAAACATATGCAAGTTAGAAATAAGAACCCATCTGAGACCTGTTGGTCTACCTAAATGTCCTAGGAAGTTCACAGTATTATCTTAATAATGGAAAAGGTCATATATTTCTAAATAATAACTTTTTCTTTCTTTTTTTTTGAAATGGAGTCTCATTCTGTCTCCCAGGCTGGAGTGCAGTGGCATGATCTCGACTCACTGTAAGCTCCAACTCCCGGGTTCACGCCATTCTCCTGCCTCAGCCTCCCGAGTAGCTGGGACTACAGGCAACCACCACCACATGTGGCTTTTTTTTTTTTTTGGTATTTTTAGTAGAGACGGAGTTTTACCGTGTTAGGATGGTCTCGATCTCCTGACCTCATGATCCACCCGCCTCGGCCTCCCAAAGTGCTGGCATTACAGGCATGAGCCACCCTGCCCGGCCTCTTAGACTCAGGCAAACTATTACTTCTTTAATCTTCCTTCCTAAAAGGAATGTCCCATAGAATACATGCAACATTTTTCCCACTAGATGGAACCATTTCCCCAGTGTAGATTACAGGCATGCTAGGCCAGCCGTTAACTGCTGCTGAATTATAAAGGGCATTAGTGGCAAGCATACAGAAAGAATGAAATGGGATTAGGGCAGTGGGTGATAATTAGAAAATATTTTAGACAAATAAAATAGTATAGGAAATAATGTAACAAAGAGATGACTTCACACACCACTGGCATAAGAAATAACCTTTACAATAACAGTTGGGGCCACTGTGACTTGCTTTCCAAGTGTATCAAGTCCCACCTCCTACCAGTCCTAAATTAACAACTATTCTTAATTTGTTTTTTATATTTTCCATGTGTTTTTGGATTCATAAAAAATTAGTATTGTTTTACATGTTTTAAAATTATATATACATGGTATAATATTATATGTATTCCTCTGTTGACATTAGCCAACATTATGAAAACTGAGAGATTCACCCATGTGGATATATTTCACTTTAGTTCACTAATCTTCAGACAGTGGTCCAGTCTATGAATACACCAATATTTATTTATCTATTCTCTAGCAAATGGAAATTTAATTTTGTTTCCATCTTTTTCTTCTCCATTAAAACAATACTCCTGTAAACATTCTTGTAGTTGTTTCCTAGTGCACATGTAGAAAATATTTCTTGGACATTGAACTACTGAGTCATAAAGTACTGGATATTCCAAATTGTTCTCCAAAACAACTGTTCATGAAAGAAATATATCCCTGATTACACAGGCATGAATATATGTGCTTATATTTTCTTCGAAAAGTTTTATAGATTTGCTTTTTTTTTTCTTTTCTTTTTTTTTGAGATGGAGTCTCACACTGTCACCCAAGCTGGCCGATCTCAGTTCACTGCAACCTCCACTTCCTGTTTCAAGCGATTCTCCTGCCTCAGTCTCCTGAGTAGCTGGGATTACAGGCATGCACCACAATGCCCAGCTAATTTTTTTGTATTTTTGTATTTTTGTATTTTGCCATGTTAGCCAGGCTGACCTCAAACTCCTGACCTCAAGTGATCCTCCCACCTTGGCCTCCCAAAGTGCTGGGATTACAGGTGTGAGCCACCACGCCCAGCCGGTTTACTTTTCATAGTAAGTTTAATATGCCTTATTTTTGTAAAATTCACTTACTTTATAAAATTATTTTTGCTAAAATTCAGTATTTGATTGCAATTCCTTTGTGTGTTTTTCTAGGTAAATTTACAAACATTCAATTGTGCAAATCTTAAATTACTTCATCTTATGTATGCCGATTGATAAGTCTGGTAAGTACATATACTCAGATAACCTAAATCTTTTTTTTTGAGGCAGAGTTTCACTCTTGTTGCCCAGGCTGGAGTGTAATGGCACGATCTTGGGGCACTGCAACCTCCACCTTCCAAGTTCAAGCGGTTCTCCCGCCTCAGCCTCCCAAGTAGCTGGGATTACAGACATGCGCCACCACGCCTGGCTAATTTTGTATTTTTGGTAGAGACGGAGTTTCTCCATGTTGGTCAGGCTGGTCTTGAACTCCCGACCTCACGTGATCCACCCGCCTCAGCCTCCCACAGTGCTGGGATTACAGGCGTGAGCCACTGCATCCAGCCAACCTAAATCTCTATCAAAACACAGAACATGTCCATCAATCCAGATAGTTCCACCATGTCCTTTCTTTGTAAATCCCCAACAAACCACTATCTTCCTACCCCAAGCAAATATTATTCTCATTGTGTCACCACAGATTACTTTTACTTCCTCAAAACTTCATATGAATGGAACCATACAAATATAAACCTTTTTACATAGGCTTCTTCAACTCAGCATAGTATTTGTGAGATTCATCCATGTTGTTGCAAGTAACAATAGCAATATGAATATACCCCAGTTAATTTATCCTTTCTCCAATTCCATTTTTCAGCTATTAACATTCCTGTAACAGGTCTTTTGACAAGCTATATTTCATTTGTCTTGGGTAAATCCCTAAAAGTGTAGAATTACTTGGTTAAAGGGTAGATATATGTTTAGTTTTATAAGAAGCTATCAGACCTTTTTCTAAAGTGATTATACCATGTTACACTCCCATGAACAATGTATGAGAGTTTCAAGTGCTTCACATTCTAGCTAATACATGTTATGCTTACATTAATAATATAAGAAAGTTCCAACTGCTCTACATTCATGCCAATATATGGTATCAGTTTTTTATATTTTAGTCATTTTACATTTTAGCCATTTAGGTGTGTAGGGGTATCTCACCGTGGCTTTAATCATTTTCCTGATGACTAACGATGTTGAGTATCTTTTCATGTGCTTATTAACCATCAGTATATATTCCTTTGAGAAGTATCTTAAAATTTTTTTACCTTTTTAAAAATTGAGTTATCTTTTTGCTATTGAATTGTAAGAGTTCTTCATAATCTTCTAAATACAAGTCCTGTGTCATGTGTGTTTTGTAAATATGTTCTAATCTGTGGCTTGCCTACTAAAGTTATTGGTGGTGCCTTTTTCGTTTTTTTGTTTTTGTTTTTGTTTTTGTTTTTGTTTTTTTGAGATGGAGTCTCGCTTTGTCACCCAGGCTGGAGCACAGTGGTGCGATCTTGACTCAGGGCAACCTCCATCTCCCGGGTTCAAGTGATTTTCCTGCCTCAGTCTCTCGAGTAGCTGGGATTACAGACACCCATCACCATGCCCAGCTAATTTTTGTATTCTTAATAGAGACGGATTTTTACCATATTGGTCAAGCTGGTCTAGAACTCCTGATCTCAGGTGATCCACCTGTCTCAGCCTCCCAAAGTGTTAGTATTACAGGCGTGACCCACCATGCCAGGCCAGTGGTGCCTTTGATGAGTGAAAATTAATTTTGAGGTAATACGTGAGATGAAACTAGGTTCATTTTTTTTTCATATGGATATCCACTTATTTCAATACCATTTATTGAAAACATTGTCCTTTCCCTAAGAAATTATTTTGAAACCTTTCTAGGCTCTCTATTGCATCCTACTGATCTATTTTTCTGCCCTATGCAAGCACCCCACTGTCATGATTCTGTAGCTTTATATTTAGTCCTGAAGTTGGATTATACAGTCCTTTAACTTTATTTTCCAAGATTGCTTTAGATATTCTAGATTCTTCATTTCAATTTGAATTTCTGAATCCAATTGTTAATTTTTACCAAAAAAAGCCTGCTGGGATTATACATCAATTTGGAAGAAGTGATATCTGAAAATATCAAGTCTTATAATACATAAACATAGTATTTCTCCATTGACAGAGTACTTTAATTACTCTAAGCAATGTTTTACCGTTTTTAACAAAACTCCTTTTATGAAGCTCATCCCTAAGTAGATTTTTTAAAGCTATTATAAATAAAACCTTCTATTTCATTTTCCAATTGCTTGCATGTATATAGAAATGTAATTAATTTTTATACTGACCATGTATCCTATACTTCGGTAAAACCATTATTAATCATAACTGTTTTGTATATTCCTTAGAATTTTTCTATATAAACAATCATATCTTCTATCAATAGGGAGAGTTTTACTTCTTTCCATTTTCTTTTCTTATTATTGTTATTATTATTATTATACTTTAAGTTCTAGGGTACATGTGCATAACGTGCAGGTTTGTTACATATGTATACTTGTGCCATGTTGGTGTGCTGCACCTATCAACTCGTCAGCACCCATCAACTCGTCATTTACATCAGGTATAACTCCCAATGCCATCCCTCCCCTCTCCCCCCTCCCCATGATAGGCCCCGGTGTGTGATGTTCCCCTTCCCGAGTCCAAGTGATCTCATTGTTCAGTTCCCACCTATGAGTGAGAACATGCGGTGTTTGGTTTTCTGTTCTTGCGATAGTTTGCTGAGAATGATGGTTTCCAGCTGCATCCATGTCCCTACAAAGGACACAAACTCATCCTTTTTTATGGCTGCATAGTATTCCATGGCGTATATGTGCCACATTTTCTTAATCCAGTCTGTCACTGACGGACATTTGGGTTGATTCCAAGTCTTTGCTATTGTGAATAGTGCCGCAATAAACATACGTGTGCATGTGTCTTTATAGCAGCATGATTTATAATCCTTTGGGTATATACCCAGTAATGGGATGGCTGGGTCATATGGTACTTCTAGTTCTAGATCCTTGAGGAATT